AATTTCTGGGTGTTCATCTAGGCTGAGTGTAAGCGCTTTAATAGCTTTCTGGACTGGGATGTTAGTATACATTGATACCACATCAAAACTAACCAAAAGATCCTCCTCTTTAATATTCTGTTGATCTATTAATTTAGTAAAGTAATATCAATTCTTCACTGAATATTTCCAATACTCAGCCAATTTCCTTAGTTGTCTACATTTGAAACGTGAGATCCTATGCATCACAGTACCCTTGTTATTGACAATCAATCTTAAAGGAACTCCTTCCTTGTGTATTTTTGGGAGGCCATAAGCTGAAGGTGCCCTAGCATCCCTCTGAATAATTGAATTCATTTTCCACTTCTCCATTTCTTCTTTGCCTACACAAATGTTAAGCGATTCCCTAAGTCTGTTTTTAAGACTTTCTGTGGGATCCTTCAGTAAGAGTCTGTGAGTTTCTGAGTCATTTAAATGAACCATGATTTTTTTAATATAACTTAACCTATCCATGATGACCACTGTACCACCTTTATCTGCCTTTAAAAATAATAGATCATTTTGGTGCAAATATCTAGCAACTTTATTCAAATCATACGATTTCTTTGGAATAACTACTTCATCAAGATGACGAATGACTTATATTTATATACTATTCTTAGCCTTTTCTGGCAGCTTGTCCGTTACGTTAATTAACTCAATCAGTATATCCATAAAATGATTTTGCTCATTTAGAAATGCAAAGTTTAAACCCCTTTCCAACACGAGCATAAGATTAGCATCTATGGATATACTTGATAAGTTAATGACTTTATTTATGCTAGAAAAAATAGTACTAAGTTTAACTATCTTCTCATTGTTTCGACAATTCCTTTGGCTGATGTTGATGCCTAAATTCCTTTATTTCTTATTATGTCGAGATCTATGGATCTTATCTATCCTACCCGCAAACCGTCCGCCATTTTCTGCAATTTAATAAAGTCTTTTTAAGAAAATAGCTGAGAAATGGATATTCTAGTCCTTGTTTTGATTATAATCGGGTCAGATAATTTGTCTATACTTTCTTTGAGCCTATACTTTCACTCGAAATGTAAGTAAGCTCAACAATTATGAAACAAGAGATTCCTCGAAACCCAACTTTTCTTTGCGACTTACTAAAGCCAAACAGCTGTAGTACAACGCGAATCAGTCGGCCTCTTTTTGTGAGATTCACCTACGAATCTCTTCATCATACATTTTCATACAAAGTGAAAGTCTTCACAACAGTTAATTTATTCTTTCAGCCAAATTAACCAAATAAATTAACAAATTTACTCCAATTTGATAAGCTATTTAAATTAATTTAGTTAATCTGACTGAAGAGTTAATATATAATTCCCCTGACCGAAGGTTTTCGGTTCGAGTCCCCCAAGGACCGTACTCCAGCTCCGATTGGTTTTGAGACCATACGTTTGCTGAAATCAGACGTCTCCTGTTGTATTTTGAGTTTTCTAGACAGAAACGATGCCTTAATTACCCATTTTATTCATTTCAGCTTTCCAGCATCATGGAGGTGGCGTGCGACATTGAAATGATCAAAGATCCAGAGTCACGTCGTTCAAACGTCACTTACGTGGCGAGACATATTGAGGACGCCCTGACGACGCAACGTGAGTATCGCGATGGATGCACCATCAAGTGTCGTCATTGCCTGGCCAAGAGTTGTTGTCTTTGGTTTGGCAAACGGTACGGCAACTACTTGATCTGCCTTTACCTCATCACAAAGTCGCTTTATATCTTGAACGTGGTGGGTCAATTCTTCATGATGAACCGTTTTCTGGGCACCAACTACACTTTCTACGGTCTGGATCTTCTGCGTGACATCACAGAGGGCTACCTCTGGCAGGAATCGGGCAACTTTCCACGCATCACTCTGTGCGACTTCGAGATCCGAAAGCTGGCCAACAAACACCGGCACACGGTACAGTGCGTTCTGCCCATCAACATGTTCAACGAGAAGATATTCATTTTTCTCTGGTTTTGGTTCATTCTTGTGGCCGCCATCAACACCAGCAGCTTCCTCTATTGGTCGTACAAGTCGAGTCTGCGCGCAAATCGTGTGCACTTTGTGCGAAAATTCCTCAAACTACGCGAGGCTCTCGAGCCCGGCGACAAAAAGCGCAGCTTCGCCTTCGTCGACAACTACCTGCGTCAGGACGGCACCTTCATTCTGCGTCTGGTGGCCCAGAACGCCGGCGAACTGGTCGCCTCTGAGATAGCCGAGCGTTTATGGCAAATGTACAGACAACGTTGCCAGACGCCGCTGTCCATCAGCTCCCCGACTCCCGGCCAGTTCACCGGTTTCCGCGGCCCCGGCCCAGTCTCCGAAAAGCCAGCTGCCTCGAGAGGCCTACAACTGGCCGGCCCTGCTTACCGACAGCATCCGCAGTCGCATCATCATCAACATCATCATCACCTGCAGTCGCATCAGCGTCAGCAGCATCAGCCACAGCAGCGAAAATCCTCCAATAGTCTGGCCGAGAGTAGCAGTGCCTCAGCCTCCCTGCAGACCGGACACACGCGACACACCAACAGAGCAGACGAGCAGGCTGCCACGATGGTCGGCCATCCGGTTCCGCCACCACCGCCCCCCCCGCCTCTGCCGCCGCCACCCTCGTTGCCTCTCTCCAGCCAGCCTTCGATGCCACCGCTGCCACCATTCTCGTCCGCACACCAGCAGCACTACCAACATGCACATGCACACCAACAAGTCCAACAACTGCCCTATCCGCTGCAGAGTCAAGCCCACTCCAGCCTCCCCTACAACTCTGTACCGCCGCCTCTGCCGCCGCCTCTGCCGCCGCCATTCCATTCTTCCGGACCGTCGCATCTGCCGCCAC